GGTGTCTGGGGAACACGGGGAGCGTGGCTGTTGGGCTTTATGGGTTGTGAATATTTGTAACCCCTCGGGAACCAGCTCAGCTGGGGCAGGGGACACCAGCAGGTGCAGTGACCCCAGAAAAAAGCAAAGAACCCCTGCCCCTCCTCTGTAGCTGGGGTAAGAGCCCAGCCCAGGCCTCTATCAGGAGGACACAGGAGGAAGGTCCAGACCAGGATGACCCACGGCTAAGACCATGGCTCAGGCGTCCATGGAGAGGGGCTGGGCGCCATGGCAGCCACAGCCATAGGCCAGGATGGCGTGTGAATGTTCACAAGAGGCAAACTTGGCCAGGTGGGGATGGCTCTGGAGGGAGGCCAAATGGTCCCTGATGAGAGCCACATATAAAGAAGGCCTAGAAGTCAAGAAAAAGACCAAAGATGGGAGCCTTGGGTGAAAGAGTTGGTGAGCGAGAACAGGGAGGGTGCTGGGCCCACGACAGGCACCGAGCCCTGGTAAGCATCGGGAAACGGCTGTTCATATGCCTCGGCCACTGGGATGGGCTAAGCGTCAGAGCTGTGGCCAGGACCCAGTTCAGCTGAGCACATGGCCCACCATATGCCAGGCCACCCTGGGGACCCTGGAAGACCCGGTACAATGCTTACAGTGGTGTCTTCTCTAATAGCCAAAACTCAGGACGAGTTCACCAACAGCAGGACGGAAAGACAGAAGAAGGCCTGGTCACACTACACAGCACCCAAAGCCATGCACCCCACAGAGGCTCCCACTCAAGGCCAGGGAGACAGACAGTGCCTCTGAGATGCACCAGGCACATCCAGCTTCCTGAGCAGCATGTGGCTGCAGGGTGCACGTGGACATGGAAACACTGAGTGAAGCAGAGGACGTCACCAGGAGAAGCCAAGGCACCTCTCACCTGCCCGGGAGGAGAGGCACACGGGCAGGAGGCCAGGTCTGCTGCCTTGGCTGCTTATCCCACACTTAGAGCTGCACCTGCCCCGAGCAGGTCTCACTGAGGATGCAGAGTGGGTGGGTGGTGAGTGGGAGAGAAAGTGGGTAAGTGAGCGGGTAGGTGAGTGGGTGGGTGGGTGGGTAGGTGAGCAGGTGAGGAGTGAGTGGGAGAGAAAGTGGGTGAGAGGGTGAATGAGTGAGTGGGTGAGAGAGTGAGTGGGTGAGTGGGTGAGAGAGTGAGTAGATGAGTGGGTAAGTGGGAGAGAGAGTGGGAGAGTGAGTGGGTGAGAGAGAAAGTGGGTGAATGGGTGGG